TATATATATATATATATATATATAATTTTCACACATTATTTTTTTTATTTTTACATAGATGGATATGATGGGCCAAAGCGTTTACGAGTATAGTCATCCATGTGATCACGAAGAATTACGCGAGTGTCTTTCTTCGAAGCCTATCGAAGATAACGACAAACGCTCGTGCAGCTTTTTTCTAAGATTAAAATGCACTTTGACCAGTAAAGGAAGAAAAGTTAATTTGAAGAGCGCCTCTTACAAGGTACGGAAAATTTACTACCAATCTTTCTCTTTTTTCTATTATGAAATATAATTAGAAAAGGGTTGATATTATATTCACATATCGTATTCATTAATTCAAATTGAATTAACTTGATATCCTAATAATGTTTTTTAAGGTAATCCATTGTATTGGCCGTTTGACAAACATACGTGATTCCAATTCAAATTCTGTAAACGTCGAAAAATCTCAAGGAGAAAACGATGGTTCTTCTGATAACGATGAGATAGAACGCGAGACTGGACCATCATTAATTCTAGTTGGTTGTCCTATACCTCATCCTAGTAATATCGAGATACCATTAGGACGTCAAACATTTTTATCGAAATACAGTCTTAGCATGAAATTCACTTATGCTGATGAAAAGTAAGTTGATTAGTTTTCTTTTATTTTTTTTTTATTTTTTTTTTTTTTTAGACACTACTCATTCTTAAATTGAGTTTTTAATTTTTAATGGAATATTAATGAACTTTAGATTTATATTTGTCCTATTTTATTTTTAATCTTATTTTTTTTTTTCATTTTCATTTTCTTCTTCTTGAAAGATTGGCGGAATATCTCGGTTGGGATAGCGAAGAATTGATGGGACAATCGGTGTTCGAATTTCATCATGCTCTCGACAACTTGGCACTTGACAAATCTTTCAAATCTTGTAAGTAATTATTCTTCTTTTTTTTTTTTAAATCATTTGAATGATTTCTTTTTTGTTGTTGTTTTTTTTTTAATTGAAATTTCATACGTGTCAATGGAATTGGTGGAAAGAACATAGAATTTGTTACATTACTAATGGGGGTTGTTTTTATTTGGTTAGAAAATCTTTTTTTAAAGGTTCATTGACTCAACTTTCAAATCTTGTAAATAATTATTCTTCTTTTAATGATTCGAATGATTTCTTTTATTTTTTCTACTTTAAATCAAAATTTCATACGTGCCAATGGAATAATTGGTGGAAAGAATATACAATTTGTTGCATTAATATTTGGGGTTGTTGTTTTTATTTGATTAGAAAATATATTTAGGGTTCATTGATTCAACTTTGAAATCTTGTAAATAATTATTCTTCTTTTAATCATTCGAATAATTTCTGTTATTTTTTTCAATTTTAAATCGAAATTTCATACTTGGCAATGGAATTAGTGGAAAAAACGTCGAATTTGTTACATTACCAATCGGGGGTTGACTTCATTTGAACAGAAAATCTTTTTTAAGGGTTCATTGACACCAAAACGAAAATCGATATTCGCAGTATAGCTTTTTTTTTGTGGCCAGAGGGGTTTAGTTCTTACTAATCTCGAATGATCCATCTTTTGAGTAAAAGACCTCGTAAGGTTTATGTCCACCTATCCTACCCTTCTGTAAGAATGAGATAAAACGATTTTTTTTTTTCCCAAACGATGCTTACTTCTCTTTTTTTTTTCTTTTTCCAATTCCAAGGACACTTTTATTACCTATCATTCGAAAAATAAAAAAGTATATTAGATAGTTTACTGACGGTGGCTGACTCATCAATTTTTTTTATTTATCGTTTGATTTTTTGAAATAATTATTAATTAAAAAATTTTTATTCAATTATTTATTGTTTAAATATTGCAACAGTTTGTAGACATCGTCATTTTATTATACTTCCTCGATAATTGTTAGATAATTTATATTTTTATTTTAACGCCTTACTATAGATAACCAGCATTTACAGACTTTCAACGAGTATAATGTGTTGCCTATCGAAAGGCGTTTTGAAACCAATTTTTTTTTACTAATAGATGGCGTTGTTATTCTAATTATCGATCGTGTATAAAGTGATGCCTACCTTTAGGCGGGATGTTTAACATTTCTTTTTATTTTTTTTAATAATGAATTACAAACTTGTATAAAAAAAATTGATTCAACGTTAAGATCAATTTTATATGTTCATAGATTTATTTCTTACAAGTTTCTTTATTTCAAAACAATCAGACGAAGTATTTTTATTCGTGTTTTAATGTGTTATGGAATAATAGAAATGATAACAAAAATGATAGGAAAGAAAAATTAAAAAAAAAATAAATGAAAATGAAAAGAAATTAACGTAAGGACTCACCAAAATGATTTCATGGGTATTTCATCAGCCACGAATGCGCAGAACGTGCGCATCTAGCGCGTGTATATAAAGTGGTGCTTGCACCTCGTAGACCATTCAGAGTTTCTTACCATAACTGATCCTTACTATCATCGTTATTGTTTCAGTATTCAGCAAAGGGCAGTGCGAAACAGTGGCTTATCGTTTCTTGGGGAAAAAAGGTGGCTACGCTTGGGTTGTCACACAAGCTACCCTTATTCATTGTACGAAACAACATAAGCCGCTTTCAGTTGTCTGCGTGAATTACATCATAAGGTAGGATCAATGATTTATAATGTTAATATTTTTTTTTGTACTTTTTTTTTATTGTTTATTTCAATCTTGTAATATGATTTTGACCAATTCGCTGTTCCTTCATACGTCATGTTGAAATATTGCTTATTAATTTTTAAATATGTATTTATTATTAAATATTTTATTAATTTAATATTTAAGGAAAGCATATTATCTTTGTTATGTGTAATGAAAGTTTTTAGATGAAAAAATTCGTAAAATTTGTGCTGCGTTTTGAAGAAGGTTTTTTTTTTAGGGAGGTTTAGATTTATTTTAGAAAATTTTTACAGTAATATAATTTTTTGTTCTATATGTATATAATATATAATATTTAATATATAATATATAATATATAATATATAATATATAATATATAATATATAATATATAATATATAATATATAATATATAATATATATAATATATATAATATATATAAAATATATAATATATAATATATATAAAATTATAAATATGTTATAAATAAATTATATATAATAATATATAATATATATTATATATACCATTATATATATATATATATATATATATATAACAGATTGATCGTAATATAAATATCTTTTTCAAATTATTCTCAGTAAATGAAAGATTTCAAATTTGATTTCAAGTTTCTTTCAAAAGTTTGCTCTTTTCAAACTGTATTGCATCATCGAAGGTATGTGTAAGGTTCAATAACCTTGTCCTAGTGTGACTTGCATGACTTTGGTTTCCTCATACTCTGACAATGAGTCACGTTGTATAAATCCTATTTAAAAAGATGATTAAGATTAAGAAAATATCAAAACTAATCGAACACGAGGTACGATGGGAAAGTTTAGATTAATTATTTTTCCTCGAAGATAGAACTTATCTATTTTTTTATTATCTTTTTTTCTGAGAAATAGGTTTGAAATATTTATCGTATCGTCAGTGTCTTTGATATTGTTTGATGTTTTTGATGCAATGATAATCCAGGTAAGTGTAATTTTGATTTTAATATTTAAAATGATCGTGTATGATATGATGCATGCTAATTGAAATTCAATTTCTTGCTTTTATTTACAAAGGAACAGCGAATAGAAAATTGGTCAATTTTACTTTTTCTAATTTTTTTTTTTTTTTTTTTTTGTTTCTTTTTCTTCTTATCACCCTATGCTTCTACTATTTCTTCGAGTGTAATTTTCTCATTTCATTTTTTTCTGATGACACTTGGCTCGGCCGAAATAATCTTCTTTCTTTTACGAGGCAAGTATCATCCAGCAAATTGGACGACTCTAGATTGGAAAAAATATTCTTTATATTTTTATCTTGATATTTTTCAATTGTACGAATGGGTAACGGTTATTAAGTATACTCTTTACGAAATAGATAAGAATCTATACAGTAATATATCTTAAATCTTACACGTCTAACTTGCAATATCTTTCTTGCGTGACTAATTGAAAACGATTGTGAATACATTAATGAATAAATGAATGAATCAACCAACTAACCAACTAATTAATTAACGAAAAAAAAAATAAAATAATTAGAAACGTTATATCCTTCTTTCAATATTTCATAAGTATTCTTAAAAATAATATTTATTTATTGCAATAAAAATTTTATAAATGAAACTAGCAATTTGAATTATATTTATCGATCTATTTATTTTACATCAAATAAAATAAAATAAAATAAAATAAAATAAAATAAAATAAAATAAAATAAAATAAAATAGAATAAAATAAAATGCAAATAAAAAATAAAATAAAATAAAATAAAAATGACGATAGAAAAAGTATCTCGATGAAAACAAGATTTTTCACACGAGTCATTCAGTTAGGTTAGATAAAACGTATTACTCCATAATAATAGTGTGGATGATAGGGGAATAGAGAAAAAGAGAAAGATAGATAGATAGAGAGAGTGAGAGAGAGAGAGAGAGAGAGAACATAAGAACTTTCACTATCGGAAAACAAATAAAACCAAGCCCATTCCCTTCCCCCTTTTAGGATACTCTTCCCTTGGTTCGTTTAATCTCCGCAGTAGTTCCGGAATGTTACCCACCCTTTCTACCAATGGCTTACGTTCAGTTATCGCCACAGCTACCACCATCATAACCTTCAGCACACACTCACATACCTATACACTAATACACTTATATATACACCCTTCAAGCCCACTGGATAAGTCCTCTTTCTCTTTCTTCTACCTCCTTTAACTCCTCCCAAACCCCAACCCATCCACCCACTCACTCACTCTTTTCCTTTTTCGATCCTCTTCTCAACTTTCGAGCATTACACGCGCCGACGAAGGAGAGGACGTAGAACCTGGTGGCCCACATAAAACCCGCCCCTTTTCTGTGGCTATACTACCCTCTCGTAGTCACATTCACTTCAGTATACTAACCCCTTTGGATTCTATACCTTCTTCTTCTTCTTCTTCTTCTCTCTCTCTCTCTCTCTCTCTCTCTCTCTCTTTCGCTCTCTTTCGTGACACTCGTTAAGCGCACGCGCAGACTCGTATAAAATTCGAGCTTCACTTTACATTCCCTTTCTTTCTTTTTCTTTCTTTTTCTTTTTTTTTCTTTTCTCCACCCTCTATCTTCTTTTCAAACGTTTCGTCTCATTAACCATTTATTCCAACCCCTTTTTTTTTTTTTTGACGAGGAAGAGGTTTTATTTTATCTTACGTAAGATCGAATCGCTAGCTAGCCTAGCTTATGCTACGCTATTATTGTAGTCAGTGGGACTTGGAACTTCAGCTGACGTCGCGAGACCTGTCAGATACAAACCCTTTTTTTTTCTTTTTTGTGCTTTTTTTCTTTTCCTTTTACTTTTTTTTCTTACATCAAGCCAGTTGTTCTTTTGTTTTCATCTTTCGATTTTTACGTTCCTCTATAAATCTGAGATGTACTACTGTAATCTTTAGTACTTTTTTTCTTTCTTTCTTTTTACTGCAATTTTTACAAAAAAAAAAAATATATATATAATAATAACAAGTCGAATTTAAAAATAAAATTTTGATAAAGCAAATAAAAATCATTTGTTATTTCTAAATATATTATGCATAGTAATTAATTAATTTTATTAATTTTTAACATTTAATTTTCATCTACCTTATATATATATAAAAATACTTTTGCATATTATACTATTTATATACTATATTATATAATATACTGTATACTATGTTATATAATATACTGTATAATATATTATATAATATACTATAATATATTATATATTAATATTTGTATTTATTATTTTATATTATTATTATATTTTAA